GTGAAGGCCCTCTCACATACCTGGCTGTGCTGAGCTCATCTGGGAAACTCTTCACCTGAGGTTCTCTCTTCCCAGATCTAGGTTGTGTCGCGTTGACAAAAGACAAACAAACAAACACAAACCCTAACCAGCACACCAAGGAACTCACTTGGTGAAAGGAGAAAAATGATTTCCTTAAGCTGTCCTTCACCGTCACATGTATCACACACACACACACACACACACACACACACACACACACACGCACACACACGCACACACACACGCAAATAAAGAAAGCCGGGGCTGAAAGGGATGGCTAAGCAGTTAAGAGTTCTCGTTGCTCTTCTCAAGGACCTGAGTCCAGCCCAGCACCCACTGTGGACAGCTCCCAGCCTGCAGGGGACTTACCACCTTCTGGCCTCTGTAGGCACCGGGCATGCGTGCCCACCTGGCCCTCCACCTGGTATCATCAGTTACTCGTTTATTCTAGTGTGTAGAGTTTCCTAATGCTAACTTTCTCTAGCCACTCTCATCCTTTCCCACCCCACATCTACTGGGTCACTTATGTACCGGGTAAGTACTGTTAGGACACAATGCTGGAGCTCTCCAAACCGGAGGCTTAAAATAAATGGTTTTTATTTCTTCTTATGCGCATGTTGACTGGTTGAGCTTTCTGGTCTGAATGACCTCAGCTGGAGCTGAGTCAAGGGTAGCCTTATGCATGTTTAGGGCCCCTCGGAGGAAGCAAAGAGAGGCAATCAGAGCAAATCAGGACTCTCTCCAAGTGGTCCCTTGCCTAAGAATCGACTTCATTGGATCTCAAGGTTGCAAACATTTGCCAGCAGTAAGTTCCTGTCTCAATGTTCAAGAAGCTTTCAAGAGCCTGTTCACATAACTGTTATGACCCCAGCGACCAGTGCCTCTTGGTTGTCAACCTGACTGCACCAGGAAGCAGTGAAGTCCAGTTGCTAGGCTGCTTGCCTTCATCCTTGGCAGCAAGTTCATCTCTCCTGTTGCCACAGTGGTCCTTCATCAGGATTAGAGCCGACTTCTTCCCTGGGGGCTGAGCCACTGTTGGCAGCTCAGTCTCAGCATGAGAGCAGCTTTATTGGACTACCCAGGCCGCATCCTGGAAGCCACTCTAACAAATCCACACACAGATTCTCCCTACCAGCTGCCGTCTTCTAAAAGAAAGGGAGGGAGGAGGCCACCTGGGGATATTGCTACAGGAGAACATGTAAACGGGGAGCAATGTGGGAGGGGCCTGACTGCTGCCCCCTGAAACCTAGGAATTCTTTTTTCTCCTTTCTCCTCACTTTTCCTCGTGGATGCCTCTACACTAACAAATTCAAGACCTTCTCATCTCCGCCCTAAAGTATGGAGAGACTTTTAATTCACTGAGCATCGACACCTACCAGCATGAGAATTTCCCGGCAACACAACTTAAAACTCAGCCGCTCCTCCTGGACCATAAGAATAAACTACAGGGGGCTGGAGAGATGGCTCAGAGGTGCCCTTCCAGAGGACCCACGTTCAATTCCCACATGGCAGCTCACAACTGTCTGCAACTCAAGGGATCTGACACCCTCACACAGACACACACACAGCCAAAACACCAATGCACATAAACTAAAAATAAATCGTTAATTTTTTTTAAATAACAAACAGCATCAAAGAATAAACTCTGGACTGCTGAGGAAAGTTCCTAGTTAATTTCTAGCCCCTACTCTGTGACTTCTCTTCCTGTGTTCTCACCTATGCTTACTGTTGTTCCAAAAATGAAGAACCAAGTCTTGAAAGGGTCATGGGAGTTCAGTAGCATGCTTTTCACCAAACGTTCCTGTATGCAAATCTCGTTCTTCAGCCCGCATCTCAAATGTCACAACTGTAAGGAAGTGCTTCTTGCCCGACAAAGTAAAGGCTCCTATATCTCCACGGCAAAGAGAACAAGCCTCGATTACAGTGTTCACTCCAGCACACTCTGATTGTTTGCAGGCCTGTGTAATGTCTAACCACTCACTTCCCTGTGGGGTTTGGACTATATCGTTTTTTCTTTCTCCCTCCAGTACCTGGGACAATTTTTTTCTTTTTCTTCCTTTTTTTTTCTTTTTTTCTTTTCCTTTTCTTTCTCTCTTTTCTTTATTTCTTTCTCTTTTTTTTCGTTAGTTTTTTGTTTTTTGAGACAGGGTTTCTCTGTGTAGCCCTGGCTGTCCTGGAACTCACTCTGTAGGCCAAGCTGACCTCAAACTCAGAAAGATCTTTCGGCCTCAATCTCCCAAGTGCTGGGATTAAAGGTACGAGCCATGCCAGCCCTTAGGACAACTCTTGAGAATAAACATAGCAAATGCCTTTTTGTTTGTTGGTTGGTTAGTTTGAGACAGGGCCTCAAACAGGGCTGGCTTTGAGCTCTGCCTCCCAGTGCTCAGATTACAGGTTTGAGTTTACATTATTTATTTTTTAGTAGACTATTTTTTATTATTTGACAATTTTATACACATAAACAGCACACCTGTTCCCCACAAGGAGCCCCCAACTCCTGCCTGCTCTTCCCAGGCGCCGCCAGCCTGTCTCCTGCCCTCTTCTCGGTCACATTTTTTTTTTTTTTTTGGTTTTTCGAGACAGGGTTTCTCTGTAGCTTTGGTGCCTGTCCTGGAACTAGCTCTTGTAGACCAGGCTGGTCTCGAACNTTTCGAGACAGGGTTTCTCTGTAGCTTTGGTGCCTGTCCTGGAACTAGCTCTTGTAGACCAGGCTGGTCTCGAACTCCCAGAGATCCGCCTGCCTCTGCCTCCCGAGTGCTGGGATTAAAGGCGTGCGCCACCACCGCCTGGTGACGGTCACATTTTTTTTGTTATTGTTAGTAACCCATTGAATCCAAATAGGGCTGCCTATTAGTTAACTACTCTCGTTAACCTGATCTTGATCATAGCTGCCTGGGTTCACTTACGACGACCACATCACGTCCCCAAAACAAAATCTCATGCGATCCCCCCCCCTCCGGCTTTTACCTCCTTTCTACTCTTCTTCCCAGGCATCTTCTTAGCTTTGCAGGGAGAGAGGGACTGATACACAGGACGGAGCACTCACCAGACAGTCTTAGCGCCATCCACCAAGTTATGAGTCATCATCAGCTGCTGAGGACTGCAGGGAGAAGTGGCTCGGGCCCAAACGGAGAGCAACACTAATATATAAACTATAACGCTACAGATAAAAGCGAAAGCATTATTCAGAAGGCAGTTTGACAACATGTCCCTTTACAGAGCAGCAGTAGGTTCCTCCCTCAGGTCTGTGATTTCCTGAGTCATGGGCTTCTGACGAGATTGACAGTCACCATTTTCATGGTTTATGCCCCGGCACTGCTAAACCTGCATGGTCAGCCCGTTTATGGCGGGTCTCCAGTTGTCCCTGTCCTGGGCAGTCCTAGATGCTTGTGTTATTGTCATACCCAAGGGTCCACAGTCTTCCTTTATGCGGTCTGTTACTTCTGTTTATGCTGCATTGATTTAACTCCGTGAAACTGTGATTCTTTGCCCGTCTGAGACACCTCATGGTCTAATAAAGAGCTGAACGGACAATCAATAGCCAGGCAGGAGCAAGGATGAGGGGCAGGCAGACAGAGAACATAAGCAGGAAAAATCTGGAGAGGATGGAGCAAGAAGAGGACACCAGGGGCCGGCCACCCAGCGACACAGCTAGCGAGGGAGTAAGATATACAGAAGTAAGAGAAGGCTGGGCCGTGGTGGTACACTTCTTTAATCCCAGCACTCGATAGGCAAACGAATCTGAGTTCGAGGCCAGCCTGGTCTACAGAGCGAATTCTAGAACAGCTAATGCTACATAGTAAAACGCTGTCTCAAATAATAATAATAATAATAAAATAATTTCTTAAAAAGTACTTTTCGACTTGAGAGAAATTTAAGTATTTAAGTATAGTCTCGAGGTGAATGATTGGGGCTGAAAACAGTGGATTCAGTCATACTACTATGAAAGAAAGTAAGATGACTTTTCACCGCTAAGGTATCACACCAGTATTTGAAAGGTTTAAGCCAGGTGGTGACAGACAAAAGACTTTTAAAATATCACTTGACACTTAACTCACAAAATGTCGCCCAGGTCCCTTCACCTAACCTTCCACGAAACACTTCATTTCAGGAAATCATAGGAACCCTGCTATTGACTTGATATATTAGATGTTTCTAGGCGGACTTCTTTTCGTTTATAACTGCTCCACCCCACGCCCCGTCCTTTCTTTCTTTGTTTTGTTGTTGTTTTTTTTTTTTTTTTTTTTTTTTTTTTTTTCGAGACAAGGTTTCACTGTGTAGCTCTGACTATTCTGGAACTCGCTTTGTAGACCAGGCTGTTCTCGAACTCGGAGAGATCCACCTGCCCCTGCCTCCCGGGAGCTGGGATTAAAGGCTTGCGTCACCGCCGCCCGGCAATTTTTCCCCTTAGTCTTTAGGAGTCGAGTTCCCTTTCGCCAACAAGGGGTTTTCTAAATCTACTTCCACCGCCTCGCAAACTCCCCGGCGCTTCTGATATCCAGTTCTGGCACGAACTAGTGCGCACTGGCCAACTTCAGGGTTAGAACCCGAATCCAGGTCACTCACAACCTCGCCCAGCCAGCCCAGTGGGTCTGAGTCCCTGAAGCCCGGGCTTTGTCATCGTGGCTCCGGGGAGGCGAGCAGAACCGGGGAGGCGAGCAGCTCCGAGAATGGAGCGGCCTCCCGAACCTACTCCTCAACCTCAAGTCCTGCAGGAAAGGACTCCGAGGCGTATGAGGGATTGCAAATCCACGCCAGAAGTGACGGCCACGCAGACTTAATTTAGTGCATACAGCAGCCACCTAGCCACTTGGAGAACAGCAGCAGGAGCAATGCGACTGGGCGGGGCCAGAATGCTTAGACACGCCGCCCTCCCTCCTCCTCCTCGTCACCCTCCGAGTGGGGGCGGGGCCAGGATGGGAGCGGGGCGGGGCCTAAGGGCGCCCGCCTCCGGCAGGCGAGGGCGTGGCTTGGCGAAGGCGGGTCGCGCACAACGACGTCTGGGGAACGCGCGCGCCTCCGCCGGGCCAGGCCGAGCGTCACTGCTGCTGGTGGCGTCTGAGGCTGAAGGCTTGGCGAGGAGGGTTTGCGGCGGCGTGTCGGGCTGTTGGTATCGTGGCTGCCGAGGCCACCCGCTCCTGGTCATGAGAGGTCAGTCCTGGGGAAGGGCGGTGAGGCGGAGGGTTTCCGGGAAGAAGAGCCGAGGTTCGGACGTGGGTGGAGAACTCGGTCTTCGCAGATTCCGGAAGAGTTGGCGTTTACTTTTCCTTTTCCCTTCTCTTGTTTATGTATGAAGGAGGACAGGAAGGTAGTTGTTTGGGGTTTTTTTTCCCTCCTTTTTTTTTTTTTTTTATAGCAGAGACACAAACTGTCCTGTCCCAAGTCGCTCTTCAGAGAGTGAGGAGATCCGGCCGCCGAGGCTTCGGAGCCTCGCCGAAACGTCGCACAGTAACTGCACGGCTCCCGAACAAGCCCGGCCGCAGCTTGCTCCCTTGCGGGAGAAACGGGAGAGGCCCGGCGGTGTGGACTCTGCGACTGGCACCCTTGTCCGAGATCCACTCTGGATCACGTAGGGATCCTGCCCTGCCCACAGCCTCCCTTCTGACACCCCTATCCCCCGCCACACACCCGCCCATGGTGGCATTTTTCTTCCAGAAGCGAACTCCTTATTCACACTAAAGCATCACTTAGCAATTACGTGATGACTCCCCCCCTAACGACCCCATTTCAAAGGTATTTCAGTAACATTCTTTTGAGGAATAACAACACTATTAATTGCTGAAAACCTTATTAGCTTTGGAAAGGCTTTTCCAACATAAAATGAAATGTCTAGGTCAACCAAATGAAATGTTTATCTTTTGATGCTTAATAAGGCACTGATTTTTTTTCCCTTCTAAGCATTAGTGAATCTTTTAAAAATTTGTTACATTGATTTAGTGGGGGTGAGGTGGGGGAGGGAGATGAAGGGAGGACAACTTGTGGGAGTCAGTTCGTTCCTCTACCATCTGGGTTCCGGGATTTAACTCAGATCAGCAGACTAGACTAGGCTGGAGGCACCTTTACTGACAGAGCCATCTCACCTACCCTTAGTAAACTTCTTAATGTGGGCTCTTGCTCAGAGTCCATGTGCCTACATACATACTCGGTATGGGTACTGCTCCTCATAGTGGTATAAGCTGGGCACCCATTCTTGGACTTTTTGCTTATGTCTTTTGGCATTAGAGAAGTCAAGACATCTGCGGCTCAAAAGCAAATGTTCACTAAGTATGCTTTGTATTTTAGTAACCCCTAAATCAGTTAGACACATTGGTTTGCTAAATTGACTTTGGGATTGGGGCTGGGGGAGCAGAACCTTGGCAGTAGCAGAGATGGAAGAAGCAGTGTCTGCAACCCTGAAAGATCATCTGTGATGGTCCGCTCCTCCCGTAGTGAATAAAGGACACCTAAGCAAGTATACCGCGTGTGATTAACTGTTAACTCACAGTGCTTTCTGCTCTTTGATTTTATTTTTGAAGAAGAAAGAGTCCTGAAGCAGAGACATCTTAGAGAAAAACTATTTCAGGGCCATGCAAGCCAGCTGTAGTCAACTGCATGATCCTCCAGGCACCGCAAGTGATGATGCTCCAGCCTCCCAGTGTGTTCACCCGTCAAGATCGACAGAAGGGTCTTCTTTTCATCCTGGAGACATACATATCCAAATAAACTCCGGACCTAAAGAGCATCCTGAAAATCCGAGCTCTAGAAATACAAGGTCAGGTGCCTGCAGCTGTGCCCACGGGTGTGCACATACTCGCTTCCGGAGTCACTCCCACAGTGAAGCAAGGCCTCCTGAGGACTTTGCCACAGAATCTGGAGAACATGGAAGTGGCTCCTTCTCAGAGTTCCGCTATCTCTTCAAGTGGCTGCAAAAAAGTCTTCCTTATATTTTGATTCTGGGTATTAAACTTGTTATGCAGCATATAACAGGTAGGAAATGACAAAACATTGACTAAATTATTGAATTCAGTTTCTCTTTTTACTGATAATTTTAACCTATGTATTTTGATTGCTAACTTTTAAAATTATGTTTTAATTTATATTATTAGCATATATAATCTTGGTTTTTTCTTTTCTTTCAATTAACTAGAACTTATTTTCTAACAGGAATTTCTCTTGGAATTGGGCTGCTAACAACTTTTATGTATGCAAACAAAAGCATTGTAAATCAGGTTTTTCTAAGAGTAAGTATAACAAGCAACTAAATTATTAACTGTCTCTCTGCAGAATTAGAGAGAACTGAGAAATAGAAGTGACTTTCAAGAAGACTGGGAAGCAACAGGATAAGTTCTGGTGTTTACCACATCCTTAATTTGGTTTTCTAAATGACTTGGAATAAGTTACCTGTCCTAATGCTTAGTTATCTCACCTTACTTTTATTGTTCAGTTCCTAGTAAAGAAAACATAGATAAGAGGATAAAAGACTTAGACCACACTATTTGATCTAGCTTGGCAAGGGCCATGAGTTGATTGAAACATATTAAGTAGTACGATATCATTAAAAACCTTAGTTGATGTACCATAAGATTGAAAATAAGTAAAATGGAGCATTGAATGAATGGGCACTGGTCATTTTATGTGTCTATTTATGTTTGAGACAGGGTCTCATTGTGTATCCCCGGCTGTCCTGAAATTCACAGTGTAGACCAGGCTGACCTCAAAGTCAGAGACCCACCTGCCTCTGCCTCCCGAGTGCTGGGATTAAAGACGTGTCCTACCATGAATGGCAGATGTCTCTTATTTAAAAAAAAAAAAAAAAAAAAAAACTCAATTTTTCTAGTAATAAAAGTTTGAATCTTATAAATTCTTAGAAGAAATTCCAAGAGTCTACACAATTTTAGCTCAAGAGCATTTTCTAAAAATGGATCATATCTAGGAATTTATAGTATAGCCTATTAACAAAAATTTAATGCATAGTTTAAAACTAGCACAGGTTAATGCTGGGTTTGGTGGTTGTGTTTATCTAATTCCAACACTGGGGAAGCTGAGGCAGGAGGAGTGCCGTGAATTAAAAATCAGTCTGGAATATGTAGTGAGCACCAGGCCAAGGTGTGTTATAGTCTAACATAACACTGTCTTTAGAAAAAGAAAAAAAAAACAACAAAAATATTAGTACAAGGTTGGGCATGGTGGCACAGGCCTTTAATCCCAGCACTCAGGAGGCAGAGGCAGGGGGATCTCTGAGTTCGAGGCCAGCCTGGTCTACAGAGATTGACCAGCCTCTGCCTCCTGAGTGCTGGGATTAAATGTATGCGCCACCATTGCCTGGTGACATTTTTTTTATTTAATTTTTTGGGGGATGTTTTTCTGTGTAGCTGTGGAACCTGTCCTGGAACTTGCTCTGTAGATCAGGCTGGTCTCCAACTCACAGAGATTCGCCTGCCTCTGCTTCCCAAGTGCTGGGATTAAGGGCGTGCGCCGCCACCACTTGGGATTTCTTTAATTTTGTGAAGTTTGCCTGTACATAGTGAGGTGTCTTTCATGTATGTCTCTCTACCTTATCTACATAGTCTAGAGGCAGCTTTATATAGTATTAGTGCACTGGGTTTTGATTGGCAGTGAAATCAGGTGAGGAACTTTCCGCATGGGGCATCATGTTAGTGCTCAAATAGTTGGATTAGGATGCTCAACTGTAAAACTTTGAATTAAACTAGTAATTAAAACTTGAATTTCAAAGATCAAAATTATTGCATATTTATGAGCTTACTTACTTGAACATTCATTTTTTAAAATTTTTGTTTTATGAAAGAGAAAGAAGCAGCAAAGGTAAAGATTGCTCTGGGCAGGTCCTTTATGTCAGTGTGGAGATTTGCTTCTTTGACTTCTAAGTCTTGTGTTTTTAGATTCTTTATGGGGGTGGTGGCTTGAAACAGGGTCTCTATACAGTCTTGGCTGTCCTGAGACTCTGTAGCTCAGGCCTCATACTCAATAGAGATCCGCCTGCCTCTGCCTTCCAAGTACTGGGATTAATAAAAGGTGTGTGCCACTGTGCCCAGCTTGTATTTTGTTTTGTTTGATTTTGGTTTTTTTGTTTTGTTTTGTTGTTGTTTTTTGAGACAGGGTTTCTCTGTATAGCTTTGGAGCCTGTCCTAGAACTCACTCTATGGATCAGGCTGGCCTCAAACTCACAGAGATCCTCTGCCTCCTGAGTGCTAGGATTTAGGTGTGTGTTACCACTGTCCAGCCTGTCCAGCCCAGCTTGTAGTTTTAAATTTTGTTTATTAAGGACTAATTAACAAAAACAGTGGTTGTGACAATGAACAATTTAGCAGATTAAGAATAATTTAAAAAACATTCTAAAGTAATAAATTGATCATCAGCTCAAAATGATACTAGTAATTCTAGCCCAACATAACACATAAATTATAAAATTGTTTCTTTTTCAGGAACGGTCATCAAAGATTCAGTGTGCTTGGTTACTGGTGTTTCTGGCAGGTTCTTCTATTCTTTTATATTACACCTTTCATTCTGAATCACTTTATTACAGGTAACTAGAGATCCTCGTATACTTCTGTTGTTTATCATTTATTCCATGGCACTTTGACTATATAATGCTTATTATAGTTCAGTCTCCTTTCATGATTGACAGGTGTGACATACACATTTGTATCCCCAATACCTTGGCACATAGCATGTGCTCAATAAATACTTTTTGATAAGTGGATTTGTTTGATCAGTTTTTGTTTTGTTTTTTTGAAACAGGGTTTCTCTGTGTAGCTTTGGAGCCTGTCCTGGAACTAGCTCTGTAGATCAGGCTGGCCTCAAACTCACAGAGATCCTCCTGCCTCTGCTTCTCAAGTGCTGGGATTAAAGGCATGCACCACCAATGCCTGGCTTGTTTTTTTGTTTTTGAGACAGAGTCTCACTGTGTAGTCCAGGGTGCCTTCCACCTTGTAGTCCTCCTGCCTTGGCCTCTTGAATGCTGAAAATATAGATATGTGCCATTTACAGTTTTAATCAGTGTTTATTTAGTACCAAAAAAAAATCAACGTTTTGTTTCTAAAAATGAGTCATTAAAACACATGGTTAAGATGCATTTTCATGTCAGATATTCTGAATTTTCAGCTTTAATCAAATAATTAGAAGGCCTAGGTTCAATATAATCAATATTAACCCATCTGGGCTTTAAGGAGTGGTAGAGAGTGTGAAACTAGGTTGAGTGTGAAACCTAGTGAATGACCTCGGGCTGGAAAGACAGTGCCATGGCTGAGAGCATCCGCTGCCCTCTGCACCTGCACTCAGACACGCACATCCGATCCCCACCTCACACACAAACACATACTTCTAAATGTGTGTTTCCAGAACATGGCCAGTACTTAAAAAAGACTGTCTGGGTATAGCCTGTAATTCTAATGAGGCCAGCCTAGATGACAGTGATACCCGGTCTGAAGGAACACACAACATAAAAGGAGCACACGGACCTGCACAAAATCAACCAGGGAAAGGAAGGAGAAGAGGGCCCAGCCCAGACATGAAAGGCACTGCACCCCTAACTTAGAGCTGCTGTAGGAGTGTATTGATAGACACCAGAAAATACAGACTCGGAGTTGTTCACTGGTAGGGCACTTAACTGTATGTGAAATATGTGAAGTACTGCAGCAAACTTTACATTTGTATATCGCCTTCATAAGTGTTTATGCTCTTCTCTTGGTAGCTTAATTTTCTTAAATCCTACACTGGATCAGTTGAGCTTTTGGGAAGTTCTTTGGATTGTTGGAATTACAGACTTCATTCTAAAATTCTTCTTCATGGGTTTAAAATGCCTAATTTTATTGGTGCCTTCTTTCATCATGCCTTTTAAATCAAAGGTAAGAAACTAATGCTTATTGGAATGATGTTAGCAAAACCTAATAGTCTTCATTGAAATGCCTCTTCATTTAGAGGCCAGAAGAGGGCACCAGATACCTTGGGGCTGGAGTTAGAAGCATTTGAACTGCCTAATGTGGGTATTGGGAACCCAACTCAGGTCCACTGGAGGAGCAAGAAGTACCGTTGACTGCAGCGCCATCTCTCCAACACAAAAATATCCCTGGCAACCATTTGTTCAAGTACTTGAACTGAAAATACTAACTTACTTGGCTAAGGATTACATTTGCTTCCGGCATAATTGAAAAGTCAATCTTCATATTATATAAGGGAAAATTCTAGATTTGTACTTCTGTTTTGATCCAAGGCATTGCCAGCTTATAAAACAGTCTTACTTATACAGCTTATAAAAACTGCTTACATAAGCAGTCAGTGACTTACTGTTACTATTAGAGACAAGGTTTCACTCCATAGCTTGAGCTAATCTGGAACTCACTGCAGTCCTGCTACCTTAACCTCCCAATTCTGGAGTTACAAATGTGAGTCACCAAACCCAACTTACACATTAAAACTTTTTCTTTCACATTTATTTACTTTGTGTATACTTCTCCACCATGTGGGTTCTGGAGATTGAACTAAGGTCATTACCCATACCCACTGAGTCATCTCGCTGGCCCAACAATTGGGAAATGAGCCAATTTTGGAAATACTTAAAGCAAGCCATGTGATGACAATGGTATATGATAGCCAATTTGAATTTGTCAGTGTTAATCATGATTCTGAAATATAATTTCATGGGATTAGTGTATTATATACTCATGATGTTCTCCTCCCAATATTAAATATCTGCTATGTGTTTAATACCTTGGGTAGCTGGATTTATTTACTTTTTCTTGCTTTTTTAGGGTTATTGGTACATGCTTTTAGAAGAATTATGTCAGTGTTACCGAATTTTTGTCCCCATACCAGTTTGGTTTCGATACCTTATAAGCTATGGGGAGTTTGGTAATGTAACTAGATGGAGTCTTGGGATATTGCTGGCTTTACTCTACCTCATACTAAAAGTAAGTAACATTATAACCCTGGCAGAGTGACTCTTCTGATCACTGATTTTATATTGCTACGAAGTTACCTCAAAATTCATGTTCATATCACTAGCTGGAAGTAATAGCAGACTCTTAACTATTTAGAAATGTAGAGCTGGGGTACTTGTAATCCCAGCTACAAAGGAGGCTGAGGCAGGAGAATCACGAGTTTGCCAGTGTTGGCAACCTACCAAGACCTTGCCTCCAGAGAGATCCAGGAGGGTAGAAGGAACCTAGTGGTCTGGGGAAGCAGGGTACTGCACTGGTTCTTGTTCTGCTGCTTAGGGTGTCCTAAAAGTACCTGCCACCATGCCAAGCTCTGTCTCCATTCTTGTTGAGTTGCGGGGTAGACTTACATACCTGTGATATCTCTGGGGAATTAGTAGAAAACACACAAACCCTCACAGTACCATTTGTGATACATATAGTTCTCAAACCCATGGGATATCTTGCCCTCCTGCCTTTATGCCTGATCTCTTCAATTTAGTATTTTATCAATCTTTTTTTGTTTGGTTTTTCAAGACAGGGTTTCTCTGTGTAGCCCTATGAAACTTTTTAATTGTGTGTGTCTGGGGAGGTTGAGACTGGAACAGCTCTGGCTGCCCTGGAACTCATGTAGACCAATAAAACTTTGTGGGTTTTTTTTTTTTTTTTTTTGAGACAGGGTCTCTCTGTGTATCCCTGACTGTCTTGGAACTCTGTAGACCAGGCTGGCCTTGAACTCAAAGATCCTCCTGCCTCTGCCTCCCCTGGGATTAAAGGTGAGTACTGCTGCCACCACCTAGTGAAGTTTTTAAATCTAAATGCCAAGAGTATTTGAATCAAATTGATTTATTTTTTTTGTATATGAGTGTTTCCCCTGTATTTATATTTGTGTATCACATGAGTGCCGTGCCCTCAGAGGACTGCAGAGGTGAACAATCTGGGATTGGAGTCAGGTGGTTGAGAGCCTCTGTATGGGTCCCAGGGGCGAATGGAACAGCACTGCTAGTCCGTGGCAGTGTCTTTGACATAGGATTATTCGTCTTCATTAAATTGTAGCTCTAGGTTAAGAGGGGGCTCAACTCTGCAGTTTATTAAACTTGAAATGATTTATAATTGGATGCCTAGCTGTGGCATACAATGAATATTAGGTGGGAACTGAATTTCACCTTTGGTCTTTAGATTTAGTATATAGAGATTTTGAATTAATAAACTGTCTCTTTTAGCTTGAATTAATAAACTGTCTCTTCCTTTTAGCTTTTGGACTTTTTTGGACACTTGAGAACTTTCAGACAGGTTTTGCGAGTATTTTTTACACGACCAGTAAGTACTTACAGTTAAGAAAATACTTCTGCCTTGCTTCACTCTCACTTCTTCAGTAGTTTTACATGTAGAAATTCACCAGATGTTCCTTTTCCACTCTGAGATTATTTTCTAATATTCTGGGGCTTGGGATTATAATGATAAAGAAATTTTAATTCCTTGATCCTGTCCTGGAACTCCCTCTGTAGACCAGGTTGGCCTCAAACTCATAGAGATCCGCCTGCCTCTGCCTCTCAATTAAATGCATGCACCACCACCACCACCTGGCCCATAAGCAGTTTCTTAAATTTCATTGTCCACCAATGCTTATGTATTGAATGCCTGTTTGCCCTTTCAATCTGTTGTTCTGGAGCTGAGACTTAGTGGTCTCACTTAGCCTGTACTAAAGCATAACAGCAAGCAATTCAGTCACTGGACATCTTTTAGGATTCATAAATACACTTTTAAAAATCCTGTCATAAACTTCTGCTCCTTTTCCTTTTTAAATCCATGGGTGTTTTATATAGATTCATTAATACTTTCCCTATCCCACTTGAGCATAATTTTATTTTGAAGACAACTCAGTAAAAATCATGTCCCTTTCAGTTTTCTTACTAATGGAAATTTCCTCTTACTCAATTCTGTATTAGAAAATTAAGTTTTCTAGGCAAGCATTCTACCAAGAACTGTATCTCCTGTTCATAACATACTATTAGTTAGTTTTTTTTTTTTTTTAGGAGGGGAAAAAGGATGGGTAGGGAAGAGCCCCCGATCCCAGGATTAAGTGATCCCAGCCTGAGTGATTTAGCAATAAAGTCTGAAACAAACAAGTAAATGGAAAAAATTATCTACAGAGTAGTTCAAATTAACTGTCCAAGATACCTGTGCTTTAAGGTAATTGATGATGTGAAAGCAAATGCTAGCTGGGTATGGTGGCAAATGCCTTTAATCTCAGCACTCAGGAGGCAGAGGAAGGCAAATATCTTGTGAATTCAAGGCCAGCATGGTCTACCTCGTGAGTTCAAGGACAGCAAGGGCTACATAGTGAAACCTGCTGAAACACAACAAAAAGAAAGTAAAAACTACAATAAAATTCAGAGTTATAAGCGTCAGCCATTTCACTTAGTTGAATCTAGTAAGATTAGTGCTGAAAATAACCTCATAAAAATGTCCCGTGGGCTGTGGCTGTAACTCATAGCATGCTTGCCCGACACATGTGTGAGGCCCTACATTCAGTATGCAACACAGAAGAAAAGCAAAATACCAGACACCCTCATTGCTATCTTCACTGTGAGACAGAGTAGAGAATCAGTTACTGACCCAGATTTATTCCTGAGTCTCCCTAGGAGATCCCGAGTACATATATACATACCTGTTGGGGTGTGTTCATCTAAAGGGATTCTCCAAACCACAAAAATAGTTGGTTTGTGATAGGGTTTCTCTGTGTGGCCCTGGCTATCCTGGAACTTGCTCTGTAGACCAGGTTAGCTGCAAAGTGAGAGACCACCTGCCTCTACTTCCCAAGTGTTGGGATTAAAGCCATGCACAACCACCTCTTCAGCCCCCCTCCCCCCAAAAAAAGATATTCTAAAAACTTTTCAGGATAACTACCTGTAGTATATTCTGCTAAATAGCACTTTATTGAAGAGAAATTGTTATCAAGACCATCTAAACAGTATCCTGACTTGATTCTGAAATCTATATTATCAGCTTCAAACTTGATAATTAATTTTATCCTTGAGTTTTGGTTTAATTTTGTTAGCCTATCATAACTAACATCTCACTTTATCCATGACAGCACCAATGTTGTTTACCACCTTTCCCTTCATATCTATAGAGAGCTTTCACTGTTATGGTTAACAATTAAACCCTGCTGACTTTAGTAAGAAAGTCAAGACCTTAAGGAACTCAAACTATTTTTAGGACTTTTGAAGAAATTCTTTTTATTGGCACAGTACTGGGGATTGAGCCTTGGGACTTGCATGTGTGCTGCCACTGAGCCATACCCTGGCCAGTTCAAAACCAGACTCTCCAGAGGAACTTCTTCTAATGGAATTTGTCTTCATAGAGTTATGGAGTGCCTGCTAGCAAGAGACAGTGTTCAGATGCGGATGGTATTTGTTCAATATGTCAAGCTGAATTTCAGAAGCCAGTTCTTCTCATTTGTCAGGTAAATTTCTAAGCAAACTACATAAAGCATTTTTCTCTGACTTGAGAAAATTATGTTTATTATATGACAGTGAAGGGAATATTTAGTGGAAGATTGCATTCTGGGTACATACTGTTAAGGAGGATGTGATAGATTGTCTAAATCATGCCCCTTATGTTCTGATGATGTTTTGATGATTTTTGTGCAGAGGAACCTCTGAGGGGCAGGTGTAACTTGGTCAGTAACTTAGATACCAGAGCAGTTGAAAAACAGGTTCTGTTTCTAAATGGACACTAGTCTTGATCATCAGTGGCAGCATTTGTTACTAAATGTATAAGGAGGCTCCTTGCCATATTTCATAGTAACTGCAAGCAAGTTTCCACTAAGCAGGTAAGTAATCACACTTAAAAGGCACCTAGCAAAACAGTTCAGTGGCACAGTCAGAACACTTGTAGTGGCTCTACCATTAAAACAGTCACTTACTCATTTGTAAACTGCTGGGCCAGATGCTCTCTCAAAAACTTGAAAGAATTGGATCCTCTGGAGTGTGATATGTAAAATCTGGTTCTTCATTCCTTTACAGCATATATTCTGTGAAGAATGCATTACCTTATGGTTTAACAGAGAGAAAACTTGTCCACTGTGCAGAACTGTGATTTCAGATCGTATAAACAAATGGAAAGATGGAGCCACTTCATTGCACCTTCAGATATACTAAGTTGTACAAACTGTTATGGCCACAAAACATTAATTTTATCTGGTTATGGTAACTATTGATAAAGGCATGATAATTGATTTCCAGGAGTAGAAAAAAATGTGTCCAGATGGTTTTAAGGTATTAAGAGACATGTTTGTAGTTCAATTTCTTAAAGATTAAGTGCAAGAGCCATGTGTTTTTGAAGTATATATTAAACTTAAAAAGTATACAAATTTATTCCACTTATTTGACAGATAATTGCAGTGTTAAATTAGAAATGGTTTTTCTTGTTAATAATACCAAAACAGCAATTAGCAACTAGAACTAGCCACTTTAAAGGGGTGCAGGTACTATTTCCTGACATGGTTTTCAGAGTAAAGATTTTGCCTATTTTAAGATACATAGTATCTGAAACAATTTTCTTCATCAGACTTTTATAATCCCCATTCTAAAAATGCTTAAATTTTTCATAAAATTGTATTTTTCAATGAAAGTTCTAAATGCTATATTTTACCTATAACAATCACATTTTCTAAGTGAAGATTTATTGATGATATATTTTAATACTGTATTATGCTTTATGACAAGCAATCAGTGAGAATAAATGATTTAGATTCAATCACTTTGTGGACCTCATATATGTGCTTCTTGCCGTCACCTGTACTGTTCAGTTTTGTGTTGACCTCTGACCTCTACACACATGCACATACACAATAGTATTTTAAAGAATGGTTGTAATGTAGTGACATGTACCTTTAATAACAGGACTTAGGAGGCAGGGGCAGGAAGATCTCTGAGCACCAAAGAGAGAGAGATACTACTATATTTTATAAACTGGTAACTTCTGGGCTGGCAGACTAGCTCAGTAGATAGAGATGCTTGCCACCAAACCCAATGAACTGACTTCTCTTGTCTTCTGACATTCACATGCATGCAGTGGCCACAAACCTATGTGTAATAACTTTTTTTAGAGGTAACTTCAGTTGGAGAATTTCTGTACACCTTAGCGTGATATGAAGGCTTCAGGGATGGTAAGTTACCACCCGAAGTGGTTACCATATACTAGACATTATATTTGCTACATTTGAGCACTACATTATTTTGTGTGTGAACATTACATTGTCAAAGGTAGCTATGAGGTGTAAGTAAGCAAACTATTGATTATTAATATACAAAAAGTATTCCCATGATTTTTATGTGAAGTTAGATTCCACATAGCTTGCTGCATATTTTTAAAAGGAAAGAATTCAAGTGTATTCAAAATAACAAAGATGTTTAACATTTACTACATAAAGTCAACACTAAAATTTGTTATATATTTAATAGCTCTAATTTCTCAGGAGAAAGTTTTATAACTAATTGTTTCATACAAAAGTAGTTTATTAAATATGAGACCATGAACATATCTAACATGTTAATGAAAAATATACACCTGGTATGTATACTATAGTAAATATGTATACTTTTTCTCTCAGGTAATAAAAAAACACTTCTATTTTATGTTCATTCAAATTTGCATTTAATTTCTATTTACATTCATTCAATCTGAAATCAAATATCTTAATACAGTAAACTAAATACAAGATGAAAAGCAGAAAAGGTGTTGCCCTTATAGCACTCGTAATAAGGCAGCTGAAGAACTATTTAATAGATGCAAAGCCAACTTGGGGTAGAAGCGAACACAGTTTAAAGAGCAAACACTGTCAGAAACCCATCTTCCAGATGCTTCTCCAGAGAATCCAGGGAAATAATACTTGTGCTGTAGTGTTAAGAGTCACATGAGAAAAGTACTGTATTAATCAGCAACAGACCACAGGTCCTACGTGATGAATATTATGACTGTTTTGTCCACCAGCTATTATCTGTCCCTACAACAAAGGCAGATGTTTTGGGTATTGACTCTTTTAGATACCAACCATTTTCAAAGCCTCAAAATCCATCCTTCATAAATTCAACAATTCTCATGGGAATTATCTTCAATCTAGCCCTTGTAAGCTAGGAAATACAACTAACTGAATAGTTCTTAAAAGGTCCTATATTAATTATGATATCCAAGGCTCACGATGTTAATACTAAGATGTTTTGTTTTTAATTGTTATCTATAGTACAGAATGTTGAATTTATGGAGTCTCACACATGCATCCTCCTTTCCCTAAATCTCAAACTATCTTCTAGCTCAAAAACAGTATGGGAAAAAAAAAAAAATCCTTGAAGTTAAGATCATAAAAGGGAAAGAAACATAATTTTCCTAAAGGTGTGGTTCAAGTTCAATAATTAATACACTGTTAATCACAGCTGGTTTATAAATCCCAGTTTAGTTATTCTGTAACACTACAAACCTTAAAAAACAAATTTAGTAAACTTCAGTTCATTTTAATTAAAAAATGGCATGTAGAAAATAAAAAAATATCCTGTAATAGCTGATTTTAAAGAAAATAATCAGATAATAAAAGAAAAAGCACTTCATCTTCTTTATACACTTACCTGGTACAAGCATGAACACCTCTCTTATAAACTCAAACTAGTATTAACATATACTTTATGCTTCAGTTTTTACAAATAAATACAGAGTAGGCCATATTGCATAGGCGTGTGCTTTCTGTCTGTGACACGCATGTGACACCTGACATGTTTTCACAGTCATAGTAGGAATATCCATTATGAAACAGTTTCTCAATCAACTTGTCACAGCATGAGAAATCAATTTCACTTAATGTTGTGATAGAAAAGCTATACATTATTGTGTAGATGGAAGGTGTATAATTAATGCTTTCTACGCAAAAAAGCTGCAGTACTTGCCACTATTGCTGGCACTACTACAGTTAAACAGTTTAATTATGGGGCAGTCACAGTGCACATATAGCAACTAGGGCTGAGGAGGAACTGTTTGGTGTAAAAGTTTTATGGAATTTGGCCAGGCAGTCAACGCTATAGTCAGTAAACACATTTGGAAACAGATATCAGAGTAGTACAAGCCATTTGCAGTCTGAAATAATTCCTATATGCATCACCATAGGTGGGGTTTTTGGGGGGAAGGGGAGTCTGTTTTTAAAGATACCACAAACTATCAAAAAACAAAGAACTTTACAATTTCTGCCTTTAATCATCTCCGCAGCTCGTCGTTTACTGCTGCAGTCAGAGATCCAGGAGGGAGAATTAGATGATATAAAGCGTCTCTGTCCAAAGATGGAGTTATCAATTCTTTCATTTACTGCCACAATTGAAAGATTGTATTTCCAATCATCTGTCATGACTTTTAAGAAAAAAAAATTTATGTATTTCATGTATGTGGGTGTTTTGTCCATAAGTTATGCACACCAGAAAGAAAGGGCATCTGGTTCCATTGGACTGCCATTATAGACAGTAGGGAACCACCATGTAGGTGCTGGGAATTGAACTCGGGACCTCTGGAAGAGCCAGTGTTCTTAACCTCTGAACCATCTCTCCAGCCCCCTCAAGATTCTATTTTTGCTCACTGTTAAACTTCCCTCCCATCTCACTTCAATTGGAATTTAAAGAAGCAAGCTTCGTCTCTCCTGACTGGCTCTGACGTGCATAAGGAATTTTATGGCTTGGATCCTATGAAGAACATAGCAAGAGCATCTGTGTAAAGAAACCCTAGGGCTGCAACTATACCAAATGAGCTGCACAGACTGGAGACATAAAGACCAACAAAGTGAAGTGACAAGACTCGCAGTGTGACCATCTACCTAGACCAGTATGTACTGAAGCATATTTTATAAAGCTCTGCAGTTATTAAACCGTCTCACCAGCTCGTCATGGAAATGCTCCTTAAGGCAGGAAGTATTTAAGAAAGGTAAAGTTACCTTTATTTTTATTCTTTGTACCTGTAAATCACTTATGTAGATTTTGTTACATTTTCAAAAACAATGTCTGGTTAACATGTTTCCTAAATTAAGCCACTAAGTTTTCTTATTCACTATGGAAGACATTCATCAAAAGGCCATCAAATATTTTTACAATTAAAAAATGTAGCCCCAGAATAGGAGGGAAAAAACACCATTTTTTCTTTTTTAAACTCTTGAGGGAAAAAAATGTTAAGGAAGGTAAACAGCAAAAAACAGTACAAAGTAAAACTGAAAACCTTCCCAATATGCTGAGAAGAGACAGACTGAGGGTAGACCATGGCAACCCTCTTCCCTGCAGGTCTCTATCTCTCCTGCTTACTGCCCTAGTTATGCACTTTAGCCTGACTTTCTTCTCTTTCCTCGGCCGTGGGCTTGACCCAAATACTGGCATGAGAACAGGTGGCGATTTTTTTCCAGTGCAGTGCAGGCCCAGGGCAAGGATGCAATGTAGAACATATAACTTCTGCCTTTCCCAAGGCTTGCAGTTACGCCTAGCACACAACAGTACTGCAAGTAGAAATGATTAAACAGACTTTTTTTTTTCTTCTAGTATTACAGAAAGGTATTGCAGCTAGGTTACTGAAACAAAAACAAAAAAATCAAAAAACACCCCAGGTTTACCCCAAGCCCTCATAAGAGCCACAGCTGTGGTTAACAATGATTCATTTGTATTTTATTTCATCAAGAGAAGAAACAGAAGCTGGCTTTCTTTATACCAACCAATAATTTTGCATTTTAAAGTTTGGGATGTTTTCCATAATGAGCTGAATCAAAAATCTATTTGAAAAATATATATTTATATAAAAAAAAGACTCAGGTTGTTTGCACGTAAAACATCAATCGATAAGTTTCTTTTGTCTTTGATTCGAGTTGCTGGAAAAAGTTTGACAAAGCTTGCATGCTAATTTGTCCTTAGTTGCAAGTATTACAGGCAATCTCATACTTTGCCTATGAAAGGATGACCCTTCTTTGACATCTTCAGGCTTCAACGGTGATTCAGAAGCAACATCCTACCCTTAATACTGTCGGTTTGGAGCCATCAACGTGAAAACCCTTGCTAATGCTGAGATGTCGCTAGACAGGAACCAGTCAATCGATGTGTCTGTGGGTTCCACAATACTATTTTGCTTGAGTTTTTTTGTGGGTTTATTTTTTTGCACCATTGATTGATTTTTTTTTTAATCCATGTATATTTTTTCCTCTCTCCAAAGCATTCTAGGTAATAGCGTTGACTGCCATTTTGATTCTCATTTTATCCTGTAGGATGTTCACACATCCTTCCCCGAATTGTTTTCTTTTTGCATCAATAAAAGCATTGTTTTGTCATAGATTCATACGCAGGTGCTCTGGCCGTTTTGAGATCATAGGAAAAGCTTGTTTTTTGTATGGCCCAGAGTTCGGCTGTCGGATTGGAAGTGGTGCTGATGCTTCCCCGCTCACTGTCACATCCATCTGCTCTATTCCACTTGTTTCCATTGGGTACTCCACAGGTGTCTGAGGGTTGGCCGTGCTGGCTGAAGCACCTCGTCCCCAGAAATCCCCAGGAGAGAATTTGACTGGGCTTTAAGACAAAGAAGAGCTGTCACTCATTTGTCTCAAGGACCATCTTAACAAGAAATATTCCCCCCATGTTTAAAGGGAGGGGCAGTGTGACTTTATTTTTCTTTTTTTTTTGGTTTTTCAAGACAGGGTTTCTCTGTGGTTTTGGAGCCTGTCCTGGAACTAGCTCTTGTAGACCAGGCTGGTCTCGAACTCACAGAGATCCTCCTGCCTCTGCCTCCCGAGTGCTGGGATTAAAGGCGTGCGCCACCACCGCCTGGCTGTGACTTTATTTTTCTAATTTTATTTTCATGTGCCCTGTCACAAAGGCAAAGGCTGAGCCATCTTTCCCCTAGACTAATCACTAGTGTGTCCAAACAAGCCTCTCTGCCTCTGGCACTTGACCCCTAAAGCCCTTGATGACATACCATTAAGTCATTTTTCTCTTCCACTTAAAACAGCTTCCCATTGTATTTAAAATGAAATACTTTCCCAAACCTTTGCCATTTTCCTCATTCACCACATTCCAGGAACTCTGACTTCTTATTTCCAAGAAAAGGCATGTTTCCCTCCTCAGGGGCTTTTGTACCAACTGCTCTTCTAACTGCCAATATTTCTGTAACTTCTTTGCATAACTAGCTTTCTCCTTATTCCTAGAAGTTACTTCACTTCTAGGGAGGTCATGCTGACCATAGTTAGTGAAAGCCTCCGCATTTTTCTTTGCTTTCTTCTACCACCTTTTTTGTTTTTTAATGTGCACACATGTGTGCAGGTGCACTTGGCATAACTTGGCAGTTATATACACACTTGTGTATATTTCTATCTTAGTTTATTCTGACCCCTGCTTGATTCATCAGAAAGGAACAATTCTGGCCAGGCGGTGGTGGTGCACGCCTTTAATTCCAGCCCTTAAGAGGCAGAGGCAGGCGGATCTCTGAGTTTGAGGCCAGCCTGGTCTACAGAGTGAGTTCTAGAACAGAGAAACCTTGTCTCAAAACACAAAACAAAACCAAAAACAACAACAAAAAAGGAACAATTCTGTATTATATATGTAATACATATAACATGCAGCACATGTAAAATGTTGATAAATGCATAAAGACATTTATTATGGGCAAACTATATAATGTATGAGAGGCCCAAACATTTAAATATAAAATACAGATTGCTTACATTAGGCAAAATATGACAGTCTTATTATTTATGTAACGTACATGCATTTCTTAAGCTATATTCTTCTAGGCTTAAAAACTGTTTTCCTTGCAAGCACAGGATCTCAGTTTAACACCCAGAACCCATGTAAGAAACCAAGTGGGTGTTGTGGTGCATGGTTGTAATCCTAGCACTGCCTAACATACCAGCCTAGTTCCAGGCAGTGAGAGAGAGAGAAACTGCATGAGGAGCACTACCCAAGCTGCCCTCTGTACGCAGTTGCATACACATGAACATGCATACAGGTACATAAACATGAATAAAGAGTAAGAGAGTCAAATACCTGACAGGCGTTCGTGGGCTACCAATAAATCTTCGAGGTGATCGGATTTTTGGTTCAAAAGAAAACTTTTCTTTCACACTTTCAAGTACAGATGGAGCCACATATGTAAAACCCTGAAAAACAGTAACAGTGTACTACAGGATGAAATTTTGTCATCCATATCAAGAAAACAGCTTTTTAGTCTGACACACCAACACAATGATATATAAAGAATATACTGTGTATATACTTCCTTATCTTTGATCTCACTTTTGTACCTTCTGATTTTTGCAAGATGGGGGTCTCTCTATGTACTACTGATTGAACTACAACTTGCTATTGTAGACCAGGCTACTTCAACCTCACAAAGATCCACCTGCCTCTGCCTCCTTAGTGCTGGGATTAAAGGTGTGCGCCACCAATCTACATTTTTATATCTTTTAAAGCCTCATATGCTAGATAACAAAATTTTACCCAATTGTTGGGAGTAAGGAGGAAAAACTCAACAAGAAAAATACAGCTTACCAGTAAAATGTTGACTATAAAGAAAAACATAATTTGTGCATTGTCAGCCACATATTGTTTATACACATATATTACACACACACACACATATATTTACATACACACATATATACCTACATTTATAAAATCTGATAGGATTAATATCCAAGAGTTGCTCATAACTAAGCCAAGGTAAAATCAGAATTCTCTGATTTAGCACGTGGTGTAGGAGGTTCTTCTGTTTGTGTGTTGCTTTCACTGGTTGAATAAACTGCCTTGGCCTTTTGATAGGGCAACCCTTAGGTGGGCAGAGTAGACAGAACAGGATGGTGGGAAGAAGGGCAGTGTGGTAGATGCCAGAATTCTCCTGCCTGAGACAGACGCTGGTTAGAATTTGTGAGCCATGACCTCATGGTGATATATAGATTATTAGAAATGGTTAAAACTAATTTGGGAGAGTTAGCCAATAAGAGGTTAGAAATAATGGGCCAGGCATTAATTTAATTAATACAATTTCTGTGTGGTTATTTCGGGGAATAAGCTAGCCCGCTCCTCGTTCTAGAAGCACGTGGACCTTTCCACTTTCACACCAGTAGTTGTATGGAATTAATTTTTAAAATTTTATAAATGCATATATGTCTGTGTGTATGTGCATATGAGTGCAGATGCCTGAGGACACATGGCATCAGATCCTTTGAAGCTGCATTACGTGTAGTTGTGAGCCACCCAACATAGGTGCTGGGAGCTAAGCTCAGGTTCCTCTGAAAGAGTGAGACACACTATTAATCACCGAGCCATATGAGTTTCTTTTTGTTTTTGTTTTTTGTGACCAAGTGCCAACATTATGAAAATTCCACTATACAGGGCACAA